TATTTGAAATAATAAAAAAAAGGTTCAGATTTAAGCTGATCATTAGGAAGCGGATTTTCGTGCTCTGTAGGATGCTTTCATACTGTAAAAAAAAAAGAAGGCAAAAAATGCTCTGAGATGTTTCAATGGATAAAGGCAACGTTTTATTTCTTCTTTTGGAAATTTTTGGTAATTGCAGTTGTCATTGTCAGAATGACACACCATCATTTCAAAACTAATTGGAGTCGAATTCTGGCGGTTGGATTTCAAAGTATCGAATTAAAGAGCTGACTTGCACAAAGGTCAGAATCATCGAGAAGAAAACTTGCGCCCTTTCGCAACAGACTTGCTCAACTCCAGAGAATCCATGAAGTTTCATGCCATGTTCCTTCAAACTCTAGATGACAGAAATTTTCAGGAATGAAAAATATAAGCCTCAAAGAAGTACTAGATCTCCCAATATGAAAGAGTAATATATTTATAAGTTTTCGAAAAAATGCAAAACATGCCTCGTAGAAGAAACGCCACGTGATTTTCCTTATTGGTATAAATACTTACACTAGCGCGCCATGAAAATGGTCAAAAGGAAAGTAACATTCTATAGCATGAAAATCCTCTCCCTACTGATCACCCTATTCTTCATTTTTCTGTTTTGTTTTTGAGCATTAGGTATTTGGAGTGGGTACTTAATATAATGACACTGTGCTTTCCTCAAAAGTTCCCGGTGGTGAAGTATGGTCACATTTCTCACCTAGAAGTCGGAATATTTGAAAGGATCCCATGCATGGAGTTCTCGGAAGGTTCGATATTGTTCACCAGGCATGCGAAAAATATTGAGCATTTAAGGATATAGATTTCTGACGTAGGTTCTCCAGGATGGCAGGAAACGCAAAATCACCCCATATTGGGACCCGCTTACGAACTGGGATAAGTACCCAAGAGATCCTATGAGTTCCTAAGATCCATGTTAGACGAGGTCAGGATTCGATTTAACACGTTGGCGACAATGCGTCCTGATGCCAGGATGCAGATTTTTTTTCAATGAAACCACGCGGCGGACAAGCAAAAATAGGCTGGTCGTCAACGTGTTAATAGAATGAGGATTTGAGGGGGGGGGGGGAGAGGACAAAATACTTCGAACCACACTGTCGGCAGGGAGGTCCTTCGATGGAGAAATCTGAGTACAATTTAGTGCGCGGAAGTGCGTAAAGTTTAGTGCGTAAAGCTAAGGAAGTTGAAGATCCTGCGGCGGTCGTTGCGGCAAACAACGTTTATGAAACTGGAAGCAAGAGCCAAATAATTTCGGCAGTTTCAAGAGATTAACTGCTGTCTGTTCAACTAACGGCTGTCTGACTGAATGAAGAGGGGAATCTACCGAGCAGAGTATGACACGATGCAGTGATGTGTCGGGTATCGATTTCGAACCGTCATTGTTTCTCTTCCTTGATACGAGATTGTTGGAAATCCAAACGAGTGTAGTTCATAAATCCTCCTTCCTCTATGCTTAACTAAATTACACGATATTATTAATCGTCCTCATTTGGTGAATTTGGTGAATGGTGGTGGTGGTTGTCGGAAGACCATGCGGTGGGACTCACATGTTTGTTTTGAAGAAAATACAGGATCATCACGTATCTGATCCTCTAATCGATGAGAGACGAGGTGAGAGGATTATTAACGGATTTCAGCAGGATTATTGGGATTCTCGGAGAAAATCCACAAACAATGGGTCTCCAGGAAGAGGGAGGACGGCAAAGTATTTAGATAAGACGGCCGAGAGGAATTTCCAAATTTTGTACAAGTGGAGTAAAAAAAAAATGGCCCATGAACTATTTGAGAGTAAACATGATTTTTCGCATTAGTCACAGTGATGATGACAATCGACGAGGAACTCGAGTTCTCTCACTTGCTCCCCCGTGGATTTTCGCCCCGAATCTTAATTCATAGATATTTGTTTAAAATTTTCCATTTATTTCATCTCGATAAGAGGGGGCGAGAGTGCACAGAGGCGACTTTCCTGACTTTCCACAAGTGATATTCATGACTGATCACTGACCATGTCTACCTCAGCTCTTAAAAGGGGAAGCAAGGTTAACTCCAGTTTCACTTTCTTCTCTTGTGTAACATGGATACTGAAAGTGACTTGGAGTTGATGGAAACTGTTACTCTAACCCGTTGGTTCAGGAATATAAAAGTTTTCCTCATATAGCCACAAATTGGACGTATAGCAGAGAGAAGGAAGATGAGGCAGGATTGCAGATATACAGAATTTCTAATACTCCGTCTGGGAGACAAAATTCATTCTCATCATGTGAAGCTGTCATACCATGATGTGATGTGTATACCATGCTGGTGTTCACATAAATCCGGAGGAGGTCATACAACTAGAATGAAAGGAAATTTGAAGAAATTGTTTCCGTAGGAACAGTTGGTCTACTCATATGACATCACATCAAGCAAGGCTGAGACATTTATTTTAAATATCAATTTCGTTTGTCAGGATAGATTCTGGAGACGGCCAATCCGAGCTAAGTCCCTGTATTTCTTGTGTTGAAAGTTGCTACGCATCTGACGAATGACCTTTGCCACCTTCATCATGCCGGATTTATTTTCACGAACGTCGTGCCCAGAGACACACAAAACTTAGTGCTGATCGTCCAGCTCGGCAGTTGAGCAAATCCGGGTCTCGCGCTTACAGTAGGATCTATTGATATAAACGTATCCCTTCAGAACTAGCTTCTTTTCGCTCCTTCCAATTTTTATCAACTCCAAACCATTTTCAGTAGTGTAAGTGCTGCGAATGACGGCACTGGGAGTAATCTCGGTACTTTGCCATTGTCAAAGTTCTGCTTCCACTACTAGTGCCCTAGGCACGGGTAGATAAGTATTCTCAGATGGTAGGACTAATGTTGTTAACATGTGCTTGGAACAGCCATATTTGCTGTTGTAGTTCTCTCGCACTGACCACTCTCTCTAAGCGCACCCCGAAAATCCTACGAAATCTTGTGATTTTGCTAAGCTTTTTCACATTCCGTTCTTCTCTTCCACACCAGATATTGTTTTATCCGGTCGTTGCATTCATTTTTGGATCTGTTGTAAACGACAGTGATACATAAGCGTGCCGAGATTCTCGACAGGGTGGTACCATCTATACTAGCAAGTGTGCCGAGATTGCCAACATCTGACTCAACTTCACATTTGACCCAGGCCCTCGGAAATGAAAGGTCTGGGGCACTCGAGGTTTGCGGTATAAGAAGGTTTATAATAAAGTTATCACCATACCCATTATGAACGAGGAAGCTCCATTACGAAAACCAGCAAGCAAGGTGGAAGTGCAGAATTTGCTTAGAGTGCCGACATTCGCAGCACTCACCCCTATCCATCTTGCACTGGGAGGGATAGTCAAACCGGGAAATAACGTTGCCTCCACTTTTTAAGAGTTGAGGCCTACATGGTTATCAATGACGAATATCATGCGTGGAAAGTTGCCCCAGGACCTTTTGCCCCAACTGTATACTGTACAACTGTACCTGTATATAACTGTATATACTGTGTGTCCGTCAAAGATGAAATCACATCTTGCGATTCTTGTCAATCGGAATGCGGGGGCGAGATTACATTGGGGCGAGAGTGGAAGTAACCATTTACGGACAGGCGACAGAATCTGCATGTCACAGGATTATAGGCAGGATCCAGCATTCAATTAGCAACAGGAGCTCACGTGTCATTCTTCCGTTGTGTGCAACATTGATAAGGCCCCGTGTACATAACTGTGATCAATTTCGGAGGCTTTCATATGAAAGCGATCTAAGGGGACTGAAAAAGGTTTAGAGGCGGGCAACGAAAACGATAAAGGGGGTACGAGAGTCTATTTGAGAGACGTTCAGAAGCATCTTGACCAGGGCCGGCCCTAGCCAGACCTGGCTGTTTCGGCGCCCTGTGCAAAGAGACTGAACGCCCCCCCCCCCCCCCCCCCCCCCCCCCCCCCCCCCCCAGAAGGGAGAAGAGTCAATCCCTAACGTTCAAAATGACACCGAAACGGGTGGCATTTCCTCTTTCAAAATTAAAATTGTGGATGGCTTCCGGATTATTGCTTCATATATTCACGTTTTGGCGCCCCTGGTGAATTTGCGTCCTGTGCAGGGGCACATGTGGCACATACCTAAGGCCGGCCCTGATCTTGACCCTACTCGGATCATGAGGTTAACGAGGGGGACCTCTTCAAGGTCTTGCAGATCATCAAGGGAATCTTTTGGCTGACTTTTAATAAGTTCACGGCTTATTGGGTAGGGAATGGATGGAACCCACGGAATGATATAGTGGTGACCCCTCCCGTGACTAGCTTTAAGAAGTTAGAAGTCTTCATGGAAAAAAAAGGAGCCATATTGCCAGGGCCGTTTCTAGGGGCGGGCGAAGCGGGCGATCGCCCGGGGCGCAAGCGGGGTAAAGGGGGATGGGGGGGGGCACCAGCAGGGTAAAGGGGGAGGGAGGGGGGGCGCCGTTGGAACTTCTTGCCCTAGGCGCCAACACGCCTAGAAACGGCCCTGCATATTGCTTTAAGTAACTAGGCAATAAGAGAATATACATTTAAAAAAAACTTTAAGAGGGAAGGCGGGGATAGGTCTATCTCATTCCATATTGATACTCGATCTTGACTGAGGATGTCGTACTGGACTAAAATGTCTCTTGACATCCCTGGCTGAACCTCGAAAAATCAGAAAATCAGAGGCTATGCAATTAAATATTATCTGATTAGTTTCCTTGAGAAGGCAAACGGCCCATCGACAACAACAGCCCTGCTCTGACGTGTAAGAATCTTGATGGCGCCCATCAGTGCCGCTGGGTTTCTTCTCCTCTACCACTCTTGTTTCATCATCCCTCTCTATGTTATGGAAAATCTTTCCTCATCCTTTATGGTGCTCCCCCTGTTTCTGCGATATCGACTGATTCCCTAATTACCAGGCCCTATCGAGATTTCATTCTCTTTCCAACATGAATAGATAGAGAACCGGTCGTATATGATGAGTAAGCTCTTTTGATGCAGTCAGTACACGTCAGTATACCTTTATGTCGACAGAGCAATGTACTAATTTGCACTATTTCAAGTAAAAATATAAGCTGGCAATTCTATCAGGACTTTCTTTGGCGGAGCTTTCTTTGGCGCTGGTTCATCTGGATCTCTATAGGCTTTGTTGGATTTAATTTAATCAAGGTATTTTCCAGAGTTCTAGAAATCCTGATTAACAATATTCCAATTTAGTCAAATCAATATACAACTGGCTACTCAGGCCCACTCTCATTATGCAAAAATTCCTTCATAACTCACTTTTCTCTATTTTTTTTGTTCAATTGAAGATAAAGCTCCAATATTGCAATAATGGAAAGTAATCAACATTTTTAGCTTTAATTTCAGAGCTGCAAGATCCCTTTCTAGCTAGTCATTTGGATCAAAAGTCTCAGTGCTATGACACCTATTTTCAGTTTTCAGCAACATGTTTCACTAAGAGAAAAGACATGGGAAGGCAGCAGGTACTTTACACATAGATTGAAATGAGTTTTAAACAGTTCTCAGGATTCATGGATCTCTCTCAGAATCTTGGAAGAAGATAGTAGACTCCTTGAAAGTGAGTTTCCATACACTGGGATGTCTTGACTCATGGTGTAGGCCATGTACTTTCATCTGGCATATAGAACTAGAAAAATATGCCAGAGACTCTTCTCTACTGAGATAGTATTATGTTATTTGTAGACCTAAGTTTGTGAGATAGGGCAAACCCAGGACTAGAACTGCAGGTAAATATGATTTGCCATGACCAATTTAACAGTTTCTCTTCTGCAGTCCCACAAATAATGAAGGCTTTGATATTGGTGGGAGGCTATGGAACAAGGCTCAGGCCTCTTACCCTGAGTCGTTCTAAACCTCTAGTGGAATTCTGCAACAAACCAATGGTTATGCATCAAATAGAAGCATTGGTTGCAGCTGGAGTCAGGCATGTGATTCTTGCAGTCTCATATAGAGCAGAAGAGATGGAAAGGGAACTCAGGGAAGAATCAGCTAAGGTGAGTCAGTTTCTGTATAGCTGTAGCTAATAGGGCTATGCCAGAGAGCTTGCTTTTATGATCACTGCTTATAGAAGTAGTGTTGGAATGGCTGATGAATTTAGTTTATGTTTTAAGAATGGTGACTTTATTTATGACTAGGCCTTTGCTGAATAAACCCTTAGCATACTGTAGCATACTGGTGTTGGGTCTATTGTTAACCTGTTGTAGCATTTCATACATGTTGGTGTATGTGTGTCCTTTTGGAAGTTGTGTCCATCAACTTTGACATCATATTATAGTGGAAATTATTGTAGATATTTATTTAAAAGTTTCCTCAAATTTTATTACACATTGCATCAAAGGGTAATATAAAGTCTTTCAAGTTTGGCATCACTCTAGGGCCAAAGCATTCTTTAACCTGAGAAGCGTAAGAAGCTAAATTTATTAAATTTTTGTTGTCCCTAATAAAGCTTGGGGTGAAGGTGTCTTTCTCACATGAGAAGACTCCCTTGGGTACTGCTGGTCCTCTTGCTCTGGCTCGTGAGTTGCTTGAAGAAGACCCAGGCCCCTTCTTTGTCCTCAACTCTGACATCATCTGTGACTTTCCCTTCAAGGAAATGATGGCCTTTCACCAGAAACATGGTCGTGAAGGCACCATAGTTGTGAGTCTTTTCTCAGTCTAAGATTTTGCAATTTGCAAAAATGTATACTGAGAAGTTGCCATGCAATCTTGCACAAAGGTATTCATGTTACATAATTTTTTACAGAACATGCTGTATTTATAGCTGATATTCACTATTTTAGGGAAGCAGGGACAGATCTAGGGCTAATTTATGGAATGTGTCTTGCTCATGAGTGCTTTTGTTAATCAGCAAATATGATGATCTGAAATAGTTCATTTTAATTTTGATACTTTTATATAGTAATGTAACTATCAGTAATATGAGTAGAAGTTGCGATATAAACTCTCTTCATCCTAGCTGAGTGATTTTCCCCTGTAACTCATGTATGATATCATGAAACTGTAATTCCCATTCCAATGGAGATCTGAACATGAGAGAATTAATGTAAATCATATCTACCAGTTCAGCCTGCCCTGACTCAGGCAGAAAGGAATACACACTAGAATCCAGTTAGTACTATGAAATGACAAGTGGGAAGTCTCTGGTTTCAACATCAAACATAGCTGGCTTCAGGATTTCCTATTATTGCATTGATGATGGTTTGAATTGTCCTACCTGAAAGACTTGGGATTATTTCTCTCTTCTCATTCCTGTTGTTACATCATACTGTTGTGGCCTTAGCCTCTGATATTCATGAGAACTGAACTTGTGTTGATTCTCCCTATTGCCAGCTGTGCACTCATGAGTGTGGGACTGCCATAAAATAGCGTTTTTTCAAGCCTGAACCAACTTCCATTAATAATGATCTTTGGAAGAAGTCACTTACTCTTGTTTTTATCAGTTTCAATACCAAACCTACCCTTTTATTAAGCTTCATCATTTAATCGTTAGTCAACCATATCACCAAATTCATGTTTGTGTACTTTCTATATTCACTTTAAACATAATGTGGGGAGTAAAATGAACTTGCACCATGGCACTTCCACACTATACTGATATAAATACTGTAGTTGATAGTGTGTTGAAGCAGTATGCCTTTTTTTCAGCAAAGCCCTTGAAAGTATATGGTGAGTGGAAAAAAAAACTTTAAATTGTCATGTTTTCTGGAATGGTACAGTTCATTGATGTAAGTTTTCCTGCATGGTAATCTGGACAGTTCAAAGTTTACTCTCCCCAAAGAATACGAAGTATATGAAGTGATGAATCAAGTAAAACTGAATAGATTTTGCAATAGACCTTAATGTGGGAGTCCTGATTGTGCCCATTATAGCAGTAAGGCACTCATTGGGGTTCATAAAGGTTGGTCAGGGAAAATTGAGCTTCCTTTGCTACCCTGGTACAAACTCATGCCAATGTTCTGGTCTAGAGAGCACAGTGATGTTTGAAAGTAAGTATTTTTTGTCCCCCTGTAGTATATAACTTGTCTATGTCCATAGAAGAAAAGTGTGCTTAATGGCCATGGAGTACTTTATGTGAAATAATTGGTTTTTTTTGCTGGGAAGACAGGATCATCAAAAGAAATTATGGTCATGGGGTTTGTCTTGGATTTTTGTGTTTGTCCTGTTCAGGTGACAAAGGTTGATGACCCATCCAAGTTTGGTGTGGTGATATTTGATGAAGAAGGAGGAAGGGTGGAGAGGTTTGTTGAGAAGCCTATTCAATTCATGTCTAACAAAATCAATGCTGGCATCTACCTCTTCAACACAGAAGTCCTGGAACGCATCGAGGTAGATTCCTTGGAATTAGCCCTTAAGGTCTCCTTTCTCATCTGTAATCACCTTTACCATTTGGATCTTTTTTTTTTTTTTTTTTTTAGCACTAGCTGTACTCATCCATCAAGCAATTATATTGGATTCTCAGTTTCAGATACAGTAAGTTAAATGTGCCTATAAACATGGAGTGAAAGTATTTCATCAGCAAATACAATGCAAATACACTGAAAATATTGGAAGTCTTTCTCATATCAATATGAATCAATTGCAAGTCTATCATAGTATTTGTGATCTAGTAAATCAAAGCTCATGATTCAGTGCCTCATTTTCTTCTTGAATCCTCCTGAGTTCCTTGCATTCAAAGCTACTTCTATCTATGACTTGAGCAGTCATGTTTGCTGGGCCAATGAATCAAATTCCTTGCCCAACTTCATGTCTCAACATGAACAAAAACATGTTTTCTATTCACAGTTGAAGCCTACAAGTATTGAGAAGGAAGTGTTCCCATATATGGCAGATGATGGAAACCTCTATGCGTTTGAGATGAAAGGGTTCTGGATGGATATTGGGCAACCCAAAGACTTTCTGCATGGAATGTGTTTGTATTTGAAGCATCTCAAGGGCAGCAACAAAGATGCACTAGCCAGTGGACCCTCATTTGTTGGCAACGTTCTTGTAGTAAGTTCAGGACTGACACTATTTGAAGATTGTTCTGCAACCCCTCATTCCTTTGTTGTGATGGTTGTGATGTGTGGACTGCATTCCAGGATGAGAGTGCAAAAATTGGGAGGGATTGTCAAATAGGACCAGATGTGACACTGGGCCCAGATGTGGTGATAGAGGATGGTGTTAGATTACGTAGGTGCAGCATCTTGAGGGGAGCCCAAGTCCGTAGTCACTCATGGATCGACAGCACCATTGTTGGCTGGAAGAGTGTCATTGGACAATGGGTACTGATTTTCCTCGCTTTCTCACTCACCTTGCAATTTTTCCTCGACTCCATATTCTTTTCACCTTGTGATACAGCACCAAGTGTAGAATGTGACCATGACACTCCAAAAAAGAAAAACATGGAACCTTCTCATTGTATGCAGCATTGCTAGGAGTAGATGAATGTTAGACAATCAATTGCCCTTTCACACTCCCAGTGCAAAGTGCTCTGGGAAAATCTGCTCCAGATGCCCTTGATTCTAAGACAATGCAATCCATATCTGTAGTGTTAGGATTCCATCTCTGGGTCAGATATTGCTTGAGCCAGTTACATTCCATGTCAGATATTTCATTTTTGCTATCATCAGATATTGGGCAGAATTCTTAATATGTGTTCTGTACTATGGCCCAACGTTGCAGTTTTTTGGTAATGATGGTTGGAAGAGGAGGGGGGCTAAAGTTACAACTGCAAGGAAGAACTCTATTTCAGCAAAGCACAGCCCTAATATAATTGCAAGAGCAGTGAAAGACTGATATGAAGAATATGTTGGTTTTTCATTTGCTCACTCACACCATGTTGTGAAAGAAACTTATTCCTCTAAGTAGTTCTTCTATTCCATCAGTTGAGTAGATACTCCATTGTACTCTTTTCTTTTTTCCATGCAGGTTCGAATGGAAAATGTGTGTGTCCTGGGGGAGGATGTCGAGATAGCAGATGAGATCTATTTGAACGGAGGAAAGGTCTTGCCCCACAAATCCATCTCAGCATCAGTACCTGAACCACAGATAATCATGTAATTGGTGAATGTTTCTCTCACATCTGGCTCATTCCCCAGTGATATGTTGTGCTTGCTCTCCAAAGTACTTTTCTTTTTACTTGGAACCCCTGCATTCCTCTAATTGTATCTATGTGCTCAAGCAAAATCTAGCTCCACCCTACTGGATGGTGGAGGTAAGAGAAGACAAATTTGCTTTGAGCCCCTTCTTTGCCCCCCCCCCCCCCCACAGAACTGTGCAACATGCGAATGTTGGCAGAGCTGCTTTTCATGAATAATTTTAATCAAGTGATTCTTTTCCAAAATCAAGTTAGTCTTTGTTGGTTATAATTTTTTTTTTCTTCAGATTCCATCTTTTCAAGTTGGAATGGAATTAGGAAATATTGAATATTTGCAGGATGAGACACTATAAAGGAATGATGAATCACTGCAGAGTACTGTCAGTCTGCATTGCAAAAGCAGGTTGAGAGTCTAATGAGTCATTGAATAAATTGAAATGATAGTATGTAAAATGTAAGAATGAGGGAAATGAAATTTCTCTTCCACAAGTTGGAAGTGCTACAATTTAACAGATTTAGTTCAAGAGATCAAACAGTTGTTTGAAAAAGTAACTATAGGACTTTCAAGTAGATCAAATACTTTATTTGGAGCTGGGCTGCAGTTAGGTGCTGCTCTGATTGAACTGTGAAGGGACCAAGGATTTTCTTTGCAAATACTTAAATAATAAAATCCTGAGTTGATAAAAGTGTACTCTACTTTTTAGAGATGGGCATTATTTTCATTGTTAAAAAAAAAAGGTTATTATGGTTGGTATGAAGTGAACACATGTCCTTAATGGTCAATATGATTTAGCACTCTTGCTATTTGAGCCTAGCAAAAATTTTCATATTAAGTTTTACCATAGCCAGTATATTTCCATAACAACATGAATTCAAGTAAAACCCACTTCCTAGACTCTTTCAGGCTCACATCTAGACCTGTAGATAATTGCAGCATGGAGAAGCCCATTGGTGCTTCTTCATTCCTCCAATTTTGTTTAAGAGGAAAAAGATTGTATATGCCTAATCTCTTCTAAATGACATTCTTCATAAAACTACCACCTTTTAGAGTGAGATATGAATCATATTTTGCTGGTTTCATTCTTTATATTTCCAATAGAACTTCAACCACTCATGATAGCTTTGGTGAAGCTTTTTCATTCAGAGTAATGCAATAAGGTAGAGTTTTTGACGACTATTTCCAAGGCCTTGAAGAGGAAAGTACAAGCAGAATTATTTGGGCTTGTTCTCACCAAGAAGAGGAGATATGTTGAATATATTGCTGTCTATATCTTTTTCATCTGTTTTAATGCTTTTGTTGGTGATGAGCATGTTGTTTGATGCTTCATGTAGTCTTATGAGTGCTCTGGTACCTTTGTGTGATGAACTTGATTTCAGCTTCATTACTGATACTGATTTCAGCATCATCTGGTAGTATTGAGTCATACTGCTAGAGGAGAAATTATCAACAATGCTTCATATGGTCCAGAGCATAACTGTTCGAATGCCATTAGCAGGTGCTGGTATTGATTGCCAATTTTGGCATTATCAGCCTTGTAGCAATTGTTGGCTCTTGATATGGTATCATATGCACTATCTCCTAATGACAAGTTTTTCATGTTACCAGTGCCAATGCAAAGCAGAAAAATGGCCTCAGGTTCTTCATCTCATTTCTTGGAAAGGGAATTACATTTCCAGCCTCTCCAAGCTGAAAGTCAAATGCTCAAAATGGTGTTACATGATTCAATCTTGGTGTATAACTAAGGTCTGTGTTGAATCAAATTGGGCATCCTCCAGATTTCCCATCTATTTTCTGAGAAAATGTAGGTCCAGCATTTGCTAATATTTCTGACTGAGATTTTGGGTTTTGGCCTTCTTCAAGCAAAAACATCCATGTTTTATGCATGTATCAATGAGCCATAAATGATTTGACAACTGTTGTGGAAATCAAGCATAGGCAAAGCACTGTGTTGATATTAAGCACATTTTTGAAAATGATGTGATTTTTCCATTTGCCTCAATTCATTACACATTGGTGGATGGGTATGAGGTCATAATTGCCAATTCCTGCCATTGGTACACCTTAGGAAAGGGCTATGAAGTTGTGATTGGTAGGGTAATATGCTCTCTGTATTAGTGCTACCTGCAGCACTGAAATCCTTGTATTCCATCTGGATCTGATATCATCACTGTTTCTTCTGTATGTTTTGAGTTCCTTTCTGCTCCAAATGAATCCTGCCTGATTGCCTGATTCTTCAGATGAAGAGAAAACAAGTCAAATGTCTTGTTCTTTTCAGAATTGATTCTATTTCAACAATTAGATCATGACAATGAAGTGCATCATTGATATTTTATTGATGTAATATGAGTAATTTCTTATGGCAGGCATGGTGAACACAGCCTCTCAAGAAATCTAACCCTTTTAAACCTGTAGTCCAGCTTGCAGACACGTCAAATATGAATCCAATGAGGCCAAGTAAAACCAAGGTGGAGGGTGTGCCTGGTAAATGACTAGCAACGCAACAAAAGGGAGAAATGTTGCATGTATTCTTGTCAAAAGCAACTTCCTATCACAGTTCTAACACCACTACCCCTTCTCCCCTAGCCCTACCAATTCCTTCCTTCTCAACATCCTGTTATCTCTGTTTCCCAACTTACAAAAACTTTGACAGTTGAAGTTTACTGTCTCCCAAATGCATGTCCATTCTTGAGGTACTGCACCTCTTCCGTCCTCCATATACCCAGAAACTTTCTATATGCATGAATTCTGGCATAGCTGCATGGTTCTGATACGGACAATCAGTGATGTCACAATTATGATCTATTGTAAAGAAATTGGTTTTAGCCTTTGTTATAGTTCAAAATGAAAAGAAAACCATCAATAGGAATCAAGGCAAGACAGTGGGGATTTGTTCAGCTATTCAAATTTCTCTGTTTCCTCAATGAGGGAAGCACTGGACAATCTCCCTCTGGAAAAAAATGTATTTCTCACACTTTTCCCACAGTGAGGGATCCTACAGGGTGCTCAGGGAACTAATGGATCTCACTTAGCTGGTTCATTCACTAGTTGCACCCTGAGCTACCCATTTAAATCATGAGGAAATTTTGTTACACTGATGATTGAAGTAATGATGATGATATGCAATCTGCTTTCTATTTTGTTCCTCTTCCACTGGGAATACCAGTCTGTTTCTTGGATGATATGCCGAAGAATTGTCAGTGCAGCTTGAATTAAATTCATCTAAGGTGATAGATATTTTAACAATTTTCATATTAGATGCATCTTTAGATTTATGACATTTATAGCCTGATGAGTGCAATGACAGGAGCTAGACTACTGTTTTTATATTGTGATAGTCTTTGAAAAAGAAATGAGAAAAAGACAGAAGGCATCAGAGATTTTATAGGAGTCCTCCAAAAATAAAAAACCAAAGTCTCTTTATTCATTAAATATCTCTTTTTATATTGAAAAGGAAGTTGTAAAAAAAAAACATATCCCTGCTTTTAGCTTTATATATAATGTGTAATCATTCCACTGATCTTGTTTTGTCCCATCACTTTCCACAAAGATTGTTGTGGAAGAAATTTGAACTGTGCTACTAAGAGAAATTGTGAATTGCCTTTAATAAGAGTACACTCATTCTAAACTATGATGGTAAACTGCTCATTTACAAATTTACCTCATCACAATTTGTTGGGCTGACTTAGATGCCAATAGAGCTTCCCAAACTTCCTCTAAACATCTGGCATATATATATATGTGAATACCATTATTTCAAATTGTCAAGAAATATTATCTCAACTGAAGGCTATGAAATACTTTCTGAAATTTCTCTCACTCCGGCTGATGTAAGGATACCAAAAGAAAGGCAAATTCATTCTTTGGTAATAGAGGATGAAAAAGTTGATTACTTTGATTTTTTCAGTTGCCCTGTATAGTCCATGTATCAGGGGGGGAAATCCACTTCCAGGAAGCAATTGACAGCAATGGGAAGGCTAATCCTTTTAATGACCATAACATCAACTAGGTTAAGGGAAAGGTATTAGGGAACTGTTGCATGACATGTTGAGAGGCATATCACATTTTCAGGGTTGTTGAATTGCCCTTTCACTTCCTATGTACCTCTAGCCAATAGTTTTATTGAAAATAAGGAAATAATAAATATTCTGCATCAAAATCATTGTGGATATATGTACACACTCACATTTTTCTTAACACAAGTTACTTGACCCTGCAAGGGTGTTGCAGAACAAACTGACAGCCATGTAGATTCTCTCTCATCCAAACTGAATGACTCTTGAGCATGAGTTTTGGGTGACTCTGACCTGATTTGCCAAGTTCAGGTTGTTTCTGACAGGGAAAATCAATTGCTCTTGCAATGCTCAATTCATCTGCTGCTTCCCTAGATCTCCAGAACATGGTACTTGTATCCAGGGAAGCATATGTTGTTATAATAATCTGGTTGGTATTTCATCTTCACATCATGTACCTCTTCTTTTCTCCGAGGGAGGATCCATAAATTGCTCTACAGCCTCCCAAGGCAAAGTAACTCTTCCCCTGCCGGTAAGCTAAGCCAAAGGTTTATTGCCTCCATTAATCATCTTATCGTTCAGAGAAACTGGTGCTTTTTCCCCAATACATGGACTATGTACAATTCAGAACTCTCCAAGCTTTAGTGGAGAAGGTTGAATATTATGGAAATGTGCAAATATCAGTAATATTTTCCACAAGACATTGTTTGTACATTGGAAATCTTATGGGAGTGGATTCTCTGTTTGGTCCTACTTTTTTCCAGACATCATAGTCAAGTAGGTTTTTTTGGTGTTCCTGCATCATGTAAAACGTTGAGCATCTCACAGAAAGGCAAGAAAAATCATGCATGTGTTTGTTTCAGAATAATGTCACAAAGTATTTTCTGACAATTTGCAATTCATTCCTCTGAATGAGAAAGAGCTTCTATCTATATTATCAAAGCAGGTCCTTAGCTTCATCTCTTCATCTCAGAATTTTGAGTGGTGATTTGATTGATCTGTCCTTGCTAGACATAGCAAAAGAGGCCAGATCTATACTCAAGTTCTCTGAACCACTTCAATTGCATGACTTTTTTATGACTAAAGCATGTAACATAACCAGCTTGAGCCTACAAGTAAGTTCTCACCAACCATGTAGCAGAATCTATACAAACAATTGAACAAAGGGCACCAGGGCTTTATGCTGTGGTATGCAATAGTTGTGAACTAACCCTTTTCTCAGGAAAAGTAATGAAGGTCCATACACTGTCGCCAAGGTAGTCATCACTTTGAGATGTGCCTCATTTGTGAAGGTTTCATGAATGTTTGGAAGGAAAATCCTGCTTCACATATCACATAATTTTATTTGACTAAATTTTTTAAAGGCCAATAATCAAGTTAAAAGTTGGAAATTATGTATACACATTAACCACCTAGAAGATTGAATAATCTCAATTATGAGTCTCCTGAGCTGGTGATGGAAGATGATATGCCCATAACTTATTGTATCAGATTCACAATCATTGTAACAGCCTTTCGGCCATTAAAATTTTTTTATGTGTGTCGTAAATGCACAAACCAATTGGGCATTCAAATGACAAGTATTGGAGTATCTATTCATTTTTTTGGTGATGGGGTTTTGGTTTTGTTATGCCTATTATGATTCATGATGTTGATAATGAAAAAACCAACTTTTTATTCGATGTTTTGAATAGGACCTCTATTCCAAAGTTGAGCTGCAGTTTCATATTATGTGAACAGATGCAGTTTGTGAACATTTATAAACGTTGACCTTTGTTTTCTCATGATTTGGCTATATTGTGTTCTGGTGGGCTTTATTTTGGGTATTATATATATTTTAAAGATTTCGTGTCTATTATTGTTTCCATGCATTCAGACGTCAACGACTTACCTCTTAGTAGAAGGGGAACTATACTGCATGAAGAGTCACTTTGGTCCCACTACCCTGGGACTTCCTTTCAGATGCAGACTCCCGTATCTCATCTATCTCAATGTCTTCCATGGCACATGGTGGATGGGATGTTTACATCATGGATTAGTCAAGTTACGGTTTCTGGTAGGGGAATCGAGGCTTGATTTGCTAGAGCGAACTTCCATCATTCTGAAAATTAGCATATTAGGCAGCGGAAATAGTAATTGAACTGAGGCAGAATGAAGGGAGGTTTGAAGAGATTTGGTCAGGAACTCACACGTTCTAATATTTTCTGTCATATCCACATCTCAATCGTTACATTTTTTTAGGAAAGTGTCAGTAATGGGAAGTAACGTGGTACTAGTTACGTCTTACTTTCCTTTGTGCAACGAGTAACAATTTCTGTCGCGCATTACATTTCCCCCCTGATTTTCCATTTATTCTCGACTTTTCACTCCAAGCCCTTACTCTCGTGGCTCTCAAAGCCATGATAGCGTCTCCTGAGGATGCTTATCGCTGCACTGAATTCTTGAATTTTTGGCAAAATAGCAACGAAGGAACTAGTTACATTTTTTAAATAGAAAATAAATAGTACGCTTTATACTGTAAATTTCCCACCACTGGATAAGGTAGACTGAAATTCAAGTATGTGGCTCCTCCAGTGAGCTGATCCTACACAGCCCAAGTACATCCCAGAGATATCCTCTTGGGACAAGTGAGAAGGCCCTAGAGATAAGTACTAGGGATATGAAAATGTCAGGGCGTGAAGACATCCTAAGGATCTCCCTTTCTTGCAGCGCAAGCATATCCCAGAAATATCAAGGACAAGCGAGCCTGAGAAGGGTTTATTTCCTGCCGTGCAGGACAACCTTAAACTTCGTAATGTCAAGACAGACTTGACCCTCTAGACTCTCTAATCCTATGTTATTGACTCACTGGAGAATAATAGTGGAGGGGAAATCCTTTACTTGAAAATCACCGTGACAGGAAACACATCTCCATGGGGCAAAAGTTAGTTCCTATTTGTTTTTTTTTTTAGAAGTCCCTCAATACGCAGAAAAACCTAATACTGGGCTTTGTTTTCGGCCGAAAGTTGGTGTGGAACCCAAACGCCTTGTCTGTTAACCTTCCCGATCTGTTGAAGCTGTTCTTGAACACTAGACCACGAAGAATCAAGTTTTCTGCCAATTTTTGGATGGTTTGACGAGAGTCTGACTCAACCTCCGACCTCAGGCGATCGTTGTCCAGCTCTACCAGTCTTCCTGAACAATGGCTATCCGAGAGATCAACATCGCCTGACCGGAATTTACTGAACCAACGCTGGCATTTGCGGACATCCAATACATCTCCATAAACACCACAAATGTTTTTAGTGGCCTCCGTTGCCTTACTACCCTTACGAAACTCAGAGCATACAATGTCGTATATGGATCTCTTCGGGAATGTGGTCAGACATTCTTGCTGAAAAAAAAAGTATGACAAATAACGATTCTTTAGATTTAAATTCATTAGAAAGCAAACGAAAACATCATAACGTCTATATTTGGTTTACAAAAAAAAAAAACATTACTTTCCGATACCCCAAATATAAATGGGGATTTTGTTGCAGCCTCTAATCGTCTATTATCGCAAAAAGCGTAGTAGAAGACTTAACATACATAGGTCGCTACCTAGAGAGCATTATTGTACAGTACTTTGGAAGCAAGAAGTGAAAAAAAAGTGAGCTACGGTGGGTCGAATGGGATCTCCTCTGCCCCTTTTGCTATATTGATCTTTACCGAGTCGGTCTGGGCCCTTTAGGAACGATCCCAACTCCCTTGCCTGCTTTCCCAGAAAGCGGTCTCATCGAGGAAGGAATTCGATCCGGCAAGTGAGACGGTGAGAAATGAAACGCACGAGGATGAAGCAAACTAATGTTATTGGACTATCACGTGTGAAACCGAAGAGATCGTCAATGGGAGACGAAATAGACCTCGTCGTAATGACGGCGGAGTTCTTCCTCGAGGGCCCTGGCGTGTTCCTGATCCCGAGTCTCCACCACCACTTTCACCTGCCGTACAGAGAATTTCAAGTATTTCGAGGCTCTGGCTGACCGCCACAAGATCATAAGGGCAAGTGAAACAAATTTCGACCTTGCCGTAAAGTCCCCCCCCCCCTCCCTTACACCTAATAATTCAATATAATAAGAAATCCAATCTGCCCTTTTTTTTTAAAACAAAAATAACCCTGATGTCAGGACTCCAAACGTGAATGGACAGTGTTTCGTCTTCCATTCGAATGAAATGAATTCCAATCATCATACATTTCAAAACCTGGGGGAGGGGACAGATTTTCAGCCAAAAGGGGGTAGGACTTCGTCTCACCACGTGTAGGAAAATAACTCGAGTCCTGTGTTTGCGGAATTGGGACCAGACGGATCCTCTCCGAGCGATCTCTAGCGTTCTGCGTTCTCGAATGTACGATTTGTGAGCTCATATGCCATATCGTTCACGCAATTGCACAATAACATACTTAGCATTCTGGCCTACGAAAGCTGTGTTGAGAAGTACTAGCTCCCAATTACCTCCATATCGTAAAGCTTCCCTGTAAACATTTGTCTGCAGGGCCCGAGCAACCTTCGTAACCTTTTCCTTCGACCCCTTCCCTCCCCCCAGTCATGTCTGCCGCAAAGCCCAGGGCTAGAACAACTCCAAACTGGGACATCATACTTGAGCTGAAGAAAGTTTTTTTTTTTGTAAGCGAAATCTTACCTTCAAATGAAGCTATCCGAGGGCATGCGTCATCAGGGAGTTCAGGTCGCTAAACTACCTGATAATTACCAAATGCTGTAGATCTGTTTCTGCTGTAAGACACTGACGATGTGGTATTCATCCTTGCTAAGCCCAGAGCCATCGCAGCCTAAATCCCGATCCAGCTACTACTCGGTTTATCAACTCAGCCGGTCGTACGACGGAGAAACGTCGGCCCGAATGCACAAATCTCGTTTAGGGGAAATAAAGGGACCATTAAGCTAAAGAACCCTTTTTCTCCCATGGAAGTCCATGTATTCTTGAAGGACCGTTACCTAAAGGAAGTTTCAACAATCGGGCTTAAAAAAAAAAAAAAAACTAAATGAAAAAAAGAAGCATATGTAACATGCATCCAGGATGGTGAGATTGGAGCGATGCCGAGATGGCTTCTGTCTTTACGGTTCTTTGCCTTGGGGCACGTTTAACCGCGATGTCCCGACTCGACGTGTGACCGACGGGACGCGTGATGTCATCCGCCTTTCTGTAGCATGGAAATCTTAACCCTGAACATTTGCAGCTATTTGAGTTTCCGACCGTGGAACGCGTTCGTCTTCCCGGCCTCCGATAGCCAGAATGGACGCCGCTCGAAGGCGTAGAAAGTCAAATGTGGGGGGAGAGGGTACCTTTTGCCCTCTCACTTCTTTCTCGTTGGATGCAAATGAAGCGCGCGCATGCACTTCGCGTCCACCAAATCCTCCCTCCTCCTACCGGCCCTTTTCTCGCCGTCTTTCTGGAACGTTCCGACGCCGCCGACCGTCAACGCAGAGGGAAAGTAAAAAGGACCCACGGCGACGCTGAAGATGTCCGTCTTGACCCAGGCCCTCTCGTGGATCATGTCCTTGATGCTCACGCCGACGCTGCATATGAGATTGGTGAGCGCGGCGATCCCCCCCGGGCGATCGCTGACGGTGACCTTGAACTTGACCAAGCGGCCGTCGGCGGCGAGACCCCGTTCGAGGCATCGACCCAGCACCGTGGTGTCGATGTTCCCCCCGGTCAAGGGGATCACCACTCGTTTCCCTTTCAGCTCCGGCAGAAGACCTTGAAGGACGGCCGCGAAGCCCACCGCTCCGGCTCCCTCCACCACCGCCTTCTCCATCTCCACCAGGCGAAGGATGGCGATCGCGATGAACTCCTCCTTCACGGTCACCTGCGAACGGGCGAACGGATCGGTGACTCTCGAACGACGTCGCTTCCGACGACGACGACGGAGAGGACGGCGGAAGAGACCATCTTGTCGATGAATTTGCGCGCGTTGACGAAGGCGTTGACGCCGACGAAAGGGGCGGCGAGGCCATCGGCCAGAGACGAGACGACCTTGGTGTCGATCGGTCTTCCGCATTCCATCGCCCGGCTGAAACTCGGACACGCCTCCGCCTCTACTCCCTAGAGATGCGTCCGCGGATGAGTTCGCGATTCGCGCGGGGGAAGAACGGACGCACGTACGATGATCTGGACGGTGGGCGAGAGGGTCTTGAGGGCGAGTGCGGTGCCGGCGATGAGGCCGCCTCCACCGACGGGGATCACGACGGCATCCACGTTCTTCACCTGATCTCTGATCTCCAGACCCATCGTTCCCTGACCAGCCAGGATCCACGGATGATCGTACCTGTACGAGGGAGGAAAGTCGATCGCGAATCGCGACGCCCGGTGAGGTGCGTGGGTTCGGAATCGAGGCGGTGTACGAGACTGCTTTTAAATACGGCCGCTTCCTCGCGAGCACGAGTCTGCTTCTTCGATGCCGCCTCCGATGGCAGGTCTCGAAGATTTCAGGCCGAAACGAAACCGATGAGATTTCGTGGACGCACGCGGATCGAATCTCGAAACCTTAAGGCAAATTTTTCGCGCGAGCGGTTTCAAATTTTCAGCGCTTTTCCAAAACGAACCGTCGATGAGAACTTCGCGGGGCCGACGAAACGAACTCGAGGACCGCCTGCTCGATACCCTTCACCCGTCGAACGTTCGTGCCGATCGCGGATCGCCCGAGCTCGATCGTTTCGGCACGGGGCGAAAAGCCTCCTGCGACGAAGCGGCAGCCCGTACAAAAATCTCACCGGTCATTCACCGTCGAATCGACGTTGATTCACCGGTGAATCGACAGCGGGTGTTGAAAAAAAAAAAAGAAACTGTCCTCTGACAGCTTGGGAGAGGGGAAAAAAGAGGGGAAAGAGGGGAATCCCCGATATTTATCTGATGCTTAGGGGAATATTCCCCCTCGCACCTTCGCGCTTGTCTTTGTTATCCTTGTGAGACGCGGTTGAACTATGCCATTCCCCACATCTCTCGGTAGCCGTCGAGACTGCAAGTCGGTCTCTCCCGGTGTCAGTAGTTCGGCTTAAAGATGTCGTGCAGTGATGCGAATCGGTTCCTTTGACGTTAGGGTAGCTCATCTCAGGATTTGTGAACTTTCAACTATTCGGCCCGGTAAAGGCTAATGTAAAATGCGTTCAGAATTCTGAGACTAATAATCGGACCGACGAGTCTCCAGCTTATATTGCTCATGTATAAAATTTTGCCGACCATTGCACGATGGGATTCTCTCGTGCAAGTCGTGTTTTTATTCTTCGATCACAACACCCATATGAGTGTCGTGATTAACATATCTCAAACATAGCCTCGGTGTTAACCCATCGAGCCGGTCGTTAAACAAGGCGGTGATACATCCACGAGATGTCATCGAAGTGCAATACTGTACCATACTGGACGTCACTCGCGTCTTTCCGCCGGAGTAGATACGAGTATTCCATAGCGGACATCACAGTGACGTCGAACCCACTTGAAGGGTTAATGTTACACCTATCATATAAGACGAGAATCACAGCAGAGTATTTCCATTATTGATATTGCTTCACCTGCATTTCGTTGTTGAAATAATAGCGGACATCACAGTGACGTCGAACCCACTTGAAGGGTTAATGTTACACCTATCATATAAGACTAGAATCACAGCAGAGTATTTCCATTATTGATATTGCTTCATCTCCATTTCGTTGTTGAAATAACTTTTCACTGTATATTTCCATAAATTTTGCTTTAAATAAATTATTCATTATATATTATAATAATTATAACTCAATGTTGAATAGTGTTGAACCCCTGTTGAATAGACGTTGAAAACCGATGAATCAACGGTGAATCACCGTTGATTCACCGGTTTCAATTTCAACATGTTGAAACTTTTTCTGTACGGGATACACTGTTGCCATTATTAAAAATCCAACCCTCGTATAATACTAGTATAATAAAAAATACTTAGTTGAAAATAATGGCATTCTTGATTAAATTGAGAAAAGCTATAATTTCATAATCAAACTGAAATGGTGATATTTATTTTGGCCAGTTCTCAATATGTTATGAATTACCTGAAATGAAAGAGACCCGACCCTCATGGGAGAAACGACGAATGGGAAGGCAACGTCGGAATGAGATTCCGAAGGAAATTACGATGGAAAAGCAGTGAAATGCGACTTCACATTCTAAACTCTCGAGTGCTCGTTTCTCACGAAAGGGAGGAAGAGAGAGTGGCGTCCTTGGGTAGCGTCTGCTTTGTGGATCCTGTAAATTGCTTGCTTAAACGCGCGATTCGCTCCGACTTCGGGTTTCAATCCGGGACGTGAGCTCGAAGAAACTCTAAGAAACGAGAGACCCTCCAGTTTCTCGACATATAACGATGAACAGGGACTGAGAATTGAGAGTCTGGAGGCAACCTTGAAACATCTCATTCGTGAAGTGGGTTCTCCAAGGGCTGTTGATAGCAACAGAGGAGTCTCTTGTCTGTTTGCATGGGTCGTGCCCCTCTGTGGAGCATTCGTGCGATAAGAGGGAACACCGAACATCGGGGGGGCTTTGCTTGGCGTAATCTTCTTTGATGAAAGAATGCAAGTGTATCTCTTCCATAAGCGAAGGCACTACAGGGTGTTCATATAGTGGCTATCTACGGACAACTATTTTCATTCTGAATCTGAGGAATATGTTTTCTTATTTTTATAGACCTTTTATCACGAGATCTGGAAATGGTATCACATCTTTCGTTCCTCCAATCCAATGTGACTGTGAGTTCATTCACTAAACTCCCGTCGAAATGACTGGTTCAGAAATATTAGATGGAGCATTCTGAGTCGTCAGCCAAGGCAATTCATCTAAGAGACGATGGCTTTCATGATCTACGGATTCAGTATATATTTTTTTATCGGCGTACTTAAAACATAGGTTGATTTCAAAAGGGCAGTTCGGTTGCAGTTCAGTTCCAGTTCCAGTTGAGTTTTTCGTTCGAGAATAGTGGAAATGTGCCATTTGAATTCTAGTCAGACTGCAGTTTTGAGAGTCTGTGTTGACTCCCCGTTCAATCATAGTCAGACTGTAGTCTGACCAGAGTGTGACTATGGTTCCAGCCAATTAGGATGTCTGAAACCGCTCTTTCCTCGTGGCGCCTGGAGAACTCCAGTCAGACCTACCATGAGGCAACCGTCTCGATGGGAAGAGGAAGATAATAAATAGACTTCTTGATTTCTTCTTCCTCTGTTCGAATAGAAGCTGGTGCTGCTTGATTTTTCTTGCCATGTCAAGGTGGAACGAGGACATTGCTTGCATTTCCCATTCGCCAACCGTGGCTATGAAGCACCCCGCATGCGATTAAGTCCTAAAGCGCCGACGTATGCATCGGAACGCATGCCCAATGACGAACGGAATGATCGATATGACACCGATCTGTGGCTGGCGTCGAACCGTTTCAACTCATTTATATCACTAACTTACAATAAAGTTAATATTGGGTCAACGAGAAGTCGGACTACTACTGACTGCATTTTTACAGAAAAGAAACTGAAGCCAATGGCAACTGTAGTCATATCATAGTCCAACTACAGTCAAACGGGGACTGGAGAATGATTTTAAAATCTCAGTCTGTTCGAAGTCCAGTCGCAGTTTCAGTCGACTGCAACTGTAACTAAACTGGGACAATATTAGAACATAGTTCAACAGCAACAGAACTACGGATTTGAAATCAACCATGGTTTACAAAGGCAAAGCCACAGAAGGAACCAAATCGAAGGAGAAAAACTATCGTGTCATGTGTCAGAAAAGTGAAGGAATTCTCATGGATGTTGTAGACAATACCCTTACTGGTTTCGATTAACAAGGCTCGGAATCGCCTGAACATTGGAGGTCGCAGTATTTAGCCAATTTCTCTCGTAAACTCGTAATTTTTATCCTTTTGAGTTATGAAAACGTTCTATCATTCAAAAATATGTGATAGCGGTAAGAAGTAGTTGCAATAAGGTTGAACGGCAAACATTTCCCTGGAATTGTTGTCTTAATATATTTTCTATTCGAATGAATCCTGAAACAACTGATGTGGAAAATTATTTCTCGGCCATAGCAAAGTGGAAGGAGGAAAGGTCTAACACTATTCCGAGAACGATAAGTTGTCGTTTTATAAATTTTTTTGAAATGCTACTCCAGCCTGTAAAATAAAATAAAGTTCCCTCATAGGTAGACATTTCATGGACACACATATTAATCGTTCTCGATCCGAGGTACTTCCAATTGCAAGGTATTATTTTTCACTTTTCTTATGGGAGGAAGTAAGAGCTTGATGGGGACAGGCAATATTTCACCGCATTTGTCAATGATGGACTTGAATTTTTATCCTTGTGGAACCAAAAGTTATGCTGGAGCGCTAAGATTGACATGAGGCCAGTGGTGAAGTTTCTCCCTCGAAAGAGTCCTTTTCCTGGCAGATGTTTCAGCAGGCGAGCGATGAGCGTCCTACTGAACCTTCCTTAAATGATCTGCTGGGAGATGGACCTCTTCAAGATTTGGAAAATTCAGCTGATATTCGTCCTCATTTGTATACTCCATCGGCAAACCTTTTGGTTGCGCATTCAAAACAAAATCCTCTGAAAAAATCCATTTTTGACAAAGGAGGTGACGATTTCCTAGTTTCCATCAAAGACGTATAGGATGATTTAAGAGTGACACGAATTTTTCTATAGTGTCGATCGATCTGTCTGCTTCTCCAGAGCATTATGGTTTGACATGTCTGTGTGGCCAAACAGACTTCAGAAGAAACAAAAAGATGAGAAAAATATTTGGCTTTTATCCTGGGAATCCGATCGTGTTAATGGAGCATTGTGTCAGCAAAGGCAAGCAAAAGGAATTCAGTAAAATCCCAGAACTAAAGCGGGAATGCAACACCGAGCGCGATGTTGTCGTTGGTCGATGTTCGTTTCACCTATCATTTCGGGTGGCATCTCAGCACGTCAATGGAGCCTGGTGACCATAAAGCATAAAAAAAATATATATATATATATATAGTTTTGGTCGTAGTTCGGAAGCGGCATACCACGAGGAGTGCAGCTTTCAGCCCTAACGACAGTGTGTCCCTCTGCTATACAACATATCTTTTCATTATCACCTAACCGACGCGAGACCGCAACCATAGGAAATGAACTTCCAAAACTGGGGGGGGGGGACTCCCAGTCCCAGAAACAGCCACGGTTAGTATCGTACATCGAGAAAGGTTGAGACAGGAATTATTTACTTGCAGAGTGGAGATTCCTTCTGAATCCCATCAACAGCCGAGAAGAACCTTCTCCTCGTGGAACCCTGGTTTCGGTTCGTGTGGCGGCAATTCTCCTCGTTGAAGCCACTGACTCTTGCGAGTATGGTCGACGTAGAGGACCCAGCTCTCATCTCCAGTAACGATTTCCTTCAGAAGGTCNGTGTGTTGAGTTAAAAGGTGACTACATTGAAAAATAAAGTGTCATTTTTCCCTTCGGATGTTTCTCTCTTATTCAGGTAGATAACTTATTGAGTGACCCTCGTATTTCATGTTATGTAGGATTTCCAAATTCCACATTTGAGCGATATCAATATTGCTTCAGACTACGTGGTTAAATCTAAAAGAAAATACCCTTCAGCTTATGGTGAAGGCAAATTTCAAAACCAATTAGCACATAATAGCCTCTAAACGACTTCTCTGGCCCATGAGTTGTCTCGATCTAAATGTTAAAAAAGGAAATTCCTCCAGGTCAATATCTCTCGTTTGGTTGGTTTCTTTCCTCGAAAAACTCCCCAGGAGCGGCTACCCAAGCGGGGAGAAAAAAAATACCAGAACGACTTTTTCATCTCCCAAAATCGAGATTCAGTGATCTCCACAACCCCGGGGAGATGAAGCTTCAAATTTGCTGGTGTGATTCTGTGTTAAGAGAGGAAGTATGCCAAATTTCATTCCCGTTGTTGCTCTCTGAGAGGAATACGAGACTGTTGAATTTTGTCGTTGTAAGTGGTTGAACAAAGGGAATTGGCGCCGTAGCGCCCATTGAGACGTACAACAAAACTCGACATGAGTTCATACACGCATCGTAAAGAGTTCCATGGCCTCCGAAGAGACTCTATGCAATGCCAGTAAAACTCTGATTGCGGGAAAAAACCTAAATCCATAAACACAAGAGAGAAGAAAATATTATTGACAAGGAAAATATATCAACCCAGCAGCCGCCGTTAGTTTTCGGGTTGGCGGCCCCAACGCCAATCAATCCTAAAACACTCTCCGTTCGAATCAAGGAGGAGTCGAGAATGCCCATAAGAGAACACGTGGTTCAAGAGGAATGAGACGTGGAGGGGATCGAAGGGGAGAGGGGGGGGGGGGAGGGGGGAAAGGGAGGAAGCAACCTGCTGATCGATAGGGAGTTCCGGGCAGGAGTCTCCCCAATAGCTGGTTCACTGCCAGCTGGTACACAATATGCGCCAAAACTGACGCTCAGCCGCCTGCTTCCTTCATTCCCCTTTTTCCTCCCCTTCTCCCCTTTCTTGCATATATTTCTTTGTTAAATGCAATAGACATGAACTGCATGGTCCAGGTAATTCTGAATGCACCATTTACCTCAAGTGTGCAGTTCCTTCTTCTGCTACCTTAATCCTTTTCTCCTGTACGCTAATGATTCCGTTCTTACTATGCACTCAAAACAATCGCATTTTGAAAATTCTAAAATCGAAAAGTAATTTAGAAGAAGCGACACTCGAGAAGGAATTTCCTCCATATCTCCATTATCTCATTACC